GCTGCTGGGCTCAAGAGGGGACATACTCATCATCCTCTTGACATTTTGGGGTTACGTGGTGGGCTCCAGGGAGAGCCAGGCCAGCGGGGTGTCTCTAACAAGGTCGAGCGGGCGAGGCCGATGACAGCTTGACAGATGAGGGCACAGTAAGCAAAAGGAGATAAGGAAAGGACCCAAGCGATCATGTGATCGATCCTTTGGAAACATCCACGTGAGGAGAAAAACGAGGTGGAGGTGAAGTTAGAGAAGAGAGACAGGTGGGGGATGGCAGGTGGTGCGCTAGCTAGGAAGCTAAAGCGGTTAAAAGAAGCATGCCAGATTGTAAACAGATGATAATCTCTTGACTTGTTTATTAGGTTGATGGCATTGCAGGATACATGCCAGATCTATATACACCAGTCTTTATTTCACCCCAACGCCTCTCCCTCCTCCAGTCCACTTCTGTTCGCTCACCTCTGACTTTTACGAAACAGAAACACTGTTCTGTGACGATCTGTGTCTTTAGTTCTCAGGATCAAATGTTTTAGCTGCGTACAGGGGATGCGTTTCACTCATTTGACGCCACAAATTCTTATTTTTGCTCTACTCCGAGCCATCCATCTGGCTCTGATATCTGGCTCACTTTTGGGATGTCGTTCACACGACAGGTGACTTCGTCATTCGATATCTGGCCCCGCACAATTCGACACCGTCTGTATTTCTCTGCGTTGACAGCCTTTAGAGATCAGGAGCCGTTGAAAACAATAAATTTTGCTTTTGTCGGTATAATTTTACATCAGAAGTTGCTTTAAAGTTGGCAGCACAGTGCAAGTGTGAACTTTTGCACTAAAGCATGAGCATGAACTCCGTCTCGCTGATATTATACGTGTGAATGCAATACACTTGGGTGCCCAGGTTGGATACGATGTCAGTTATATTCACTTGGAAGCGCACACACACGGGTAAAATGAGCTTCACTGGCTAAACACTGGATTTCAGCCGGTGCCAGCAGCACACACGTGTAGTCCTTCCCCCTGTTTTCATCCTCTCGGCTAGCTGTCCATCTGAAGTTCCAGTAGATTTGCACCTCGATCAGCATCTTCAGGGCCGGCTCTCCACTGTCGCTGTGGTCTAGCTTAGACATGTGTTTTCATCCATCAGTCTGTGGTTCTCATGTAATATTCTACCTGAGTATCACATGTTCCTAGTTCCTGTTTATGCTAGAAAAAAAGGCCAATTTGTTCCTCTGGTTGCTAAAAGACTTAAAATTTTAATTCTTGACCTAAATTACTGGATAAAAATTATATTTAGTCAAAACTTGTATTCATTTTCTCTTCAAGTTTTTTGAGTCCTTTTGGGAAATGCTTATTCACTGCATTTGACCCATTGTAACATTAGTAAAGCTTGGTTTATGCTTGACGCATTCACTTTCCGCTTGGTGATGCGGCTCGCGGATGGAACGCGCTTCACAACTCGCAGCGTTATATGGTTCATGCGGCTTGTCTCTGCTGTGAGCCAATATTCTCCCAAACTGTAGGGGGCAGCATGGAGCTCTACGGCATGCATCCAACACTACACCATAGTAGAAGTAAAAACCGTTGTTTACAACATGGCATTTCAGCAGTTTTTAACAGCGTCCTCGTCTTTTCCGACAGTGCGAGCTATTTCTCTCCAAGAATTATTAACAACATGTTGATCACGGTGATCTTTGAGAGCTGAATCATACAAATGTCTGTGTTTACGAACCTCTGCCATACTAGTTCTTGCCGGTCCGTCATGTTTTTCCGCGTCCGACCGTCCACGTGGTTAAGGTTGGTTTATGCTTGACACGTCTGCGAGGTTCGCACGGCTCCGCGTGGCGAAATTGCGTCATTTTAACAACCACACCCCTCCACCGCGTCTCCGCACGGCCCAAAATTTCCGCAACGCATACATTTCTAATGGCTATGGCTGAATGGGGAGGTCAAAGGCCATAGGATCGATATCCAGTCCCAGCAGACCACGTGCCGTAACTTCCCTAGGTAAGATGCTGAACCCAAGACCCAAAGTCCCCCACCCCCACCCCCCACCCCCAGGCGTGATGCAAATTACTGCCCACAGCTCCTTAAAGGTTGGTTCATGCTTGACGCGTCCACGAGGTCCGCACGGCTCCGCGCGGAAAAGTTGCGTCATTTTAACAACCACGCCCCTCCACAGCGCCTCCGCACGGCCCAAAATTTCCGCACTGCGCACCTAGGAAATTTTCTAACCACACGGACGGTCAGACGAGGAAAAACATGGCGGACCGGCAAGAACTAGTATGGCAGAGGTTCGTAAATACAGACATTTGTATGATTCAGCTCTCAAAGATCACCGTGATCAACATGTTGTTAATAATTCTTGGAGAGAAATAGCTCGCACTGTCGGAAAAGACGAGGACGCTGTTAAAAATGCTGGAATGACATGTTGTAAACAACAGTAATTTTTACTTCTACTATGGTGTAGTGTTGGATGCATGCCGTAGAGCTCCATGCTGCCCCCTACAGTTTGGGAGAATATTGGCTCACCGCAGAGACAAGCCGCATGAACCATAAACGCTGCAAGTTGTGAAGCGCGTTCCATCCGCGAGCCGCATCACCGCGCGGAAAGTGAATGTGTGTGTGTGTGTGTGTGTGGGGGGGGGGGGGGGGCACTTTGGGTCTTGGGTTCAGCATCATACCTAGGGATGTTACGGCACGTGGTCTGCTGGGACTGATATCGGTCCTATGGCCTTTGACCCCCCCATTCAGCCATAGCCATTAGAAATGTATCACGCAACTACTCCTGCATTAGCTTCTGATAGAAAGTAGACGGTGAAACTCTAGGATTTGAAAAGTCTGACAGATCTACGCCACACTGTCACTGGACTCACCCATCTTGCTTCATGACAGGGAAGGCTGTTATTGGTTTAGCATTCAAGAAACAGCAGAGAACCTCTCGGCTAGTAGAAGCTAACCATTAGCGTTAGCAACTACACCACACAGCAGAAGCTCCTCCAGGCTTGTGTTTTTTGTGGAGATAAAACATCAATGTTGCTAGTCAGTCGTAGAGTCATGTTGCTGTTATCCAATCCGGTGCAAGATGTGCAAATATCGGGAAATAAGACTCCAAAACCTACCGTCCGAAGCTCAGCTGTGACGCGACTTACAAGGCATTTATTCCTACTAGAGACCACAGCAAATGTATTGAATAAATGAGTCTTCCACAGCTTTTCTGCTGGTTGAAAGTGGAATTAAATTAGCTGCAGCCTTCTGAAGCTCGTGCTAAAAACAGCTAATGCTAACACAACCCAATTGATATTAAATAAGCCACAAAGTAAAATGAGCCATATTGTCCTATGGTCAATACAAAACATGTTCATAAAGGTCTTTGCATAAAATCCATCTCACATAAATGAGTGACAGCAATTTTAGTTTTTGACAGTTTCAGTACCTTCCAGAATGAGCCGTGTCAGGGCTCTATTACTTTAAGAAAAAAATGCTGGAGCTGGCCACACCCATCCATCTCCCGCTCAGGCTGCTATGAGCTGAGAAGCTCTGATATCTGGGAGGGACTTTGATTAGAGCTGCTGCTCCTCCAGAAACAGCCCTCTTTTGCACGCAACAGATGGTTATATGCTAATTTCTCCACTTGTGATGTCATAAATGAAGACTTTTTAAAACACCTTCTTTAAGACACATAATTACTAAAACCAAACACTGACAGAAAACGTGTTTTTGTCACATCTGGTTTATAGAAGAGGTAGAAACCCACATGGCAACAAAAAATGATACAAAAATGTGAGTTTTGTGTATTATTTCCCATTTAAGCCGAGACTTAAAACTGGACACTGACTCTACAAGAGGGGAGCCTGAAAACTGAAAGATCTGCCTCCTGTTCTACTTTTAGAAACTCAAGGAATCAAAACTAGCAGCCTTACAACAATTTTCTGTCGGGAACATCTGGATCTTCGTTAGTAGGTTAAGTTTCGTCCTTTAGAGCTCCGTAGGTTAAAGGTGAATTTTTGATTTTAACTCTGGATCTTTCTAATGCAGTGATGCTAAAATTAAAGAAACATGATCTCTACTCTCAAATCTCAGCAGAACTCTGGCAGCATCAGCTGGAAACCTCTAAGACCACATTTGAACATCCAGACAATACATATATGCAAGTCTAGAATAATAAATAATAAATTGTTTTGTTTTGCATTATTTTAGATCAGGATGAGATTTGAAGGTCCTGGTCCAAGATCTCTGCAAGTCGATGCCATCTAAATGAGGGTCAGAGTCTGAAGGAGATCTGACGGGAAGATGACAGAAAAGACAAGTTCTAAAGAGGGGGCGGGGTCAAACAATAATCAGCGCAAAGTGCTGAGATGAAAGCAAAAGCGAGCTGAAGGCATAAACGGACAAGCTGATAAGATTGGCCTGACTTTAGAGGCCTGTGGGTTCCAGATAGTCAGAGGGAGGCGGTGATGTGCACGCTGTGTGAATAGATGGGCCTGGGATCTATTTATAAATCCATCTGGAGAGAGTGACCCTCAGCGGGGAGGTCAGCAGAGGCCCTGCTGGCACGTTCCTGCTGCACATTAGCAGTTGCTACTAACAGGGACACTCTCCAAACACAGACCGGGATTTTGTACACGTCGCAAAGTGCTGAATTTAATTTATCGTCAGAGTTGCGACGAAATGAGAGAATTTTATAGTTTTTATGATGTGGCAAGTGCTTTGCATTGGCAGCGGCATCAAAGGATGTCTCTGCACACATTTTGTCGTAGCCAGAACTTGTTGTGACGCTGGCCAAAAGCACAGAAGTCACACTCGTGCATCCGCAGGTGTCAAAGTGTTTCCATCGGCCACCTATCATGGACAACTTTAGGCTTAGATGTTAGTCGTGTCTCTTAGCAGGTCAACAGCAGCAGACCTGGAAGAAGAGCCTCCTGGTTATAATGTCAAGAAATACCGTTTGCTCCATTTTTAGATGTGCTTGTCAGTTGTGCAATAAACACAAATCTCTCACTGAAACCCTTTTTGAAATATTTCATTTTATTGAGATGTGTGTAGAAACGTACAGAAATGAAAAAATCCAGGTTTTGAGTTCACATTCATTAAACACACGTGAGCTCAGAGTGAAAATAGAAACGTCAAAATAAGCCCAAAAATAATTTCAGACTTTATTTGTAATGAACTAAGTTAAGAAAATAAAAATATGCACCTAGATTGTGTTTTTGTTAGAAACTTATAAGAATAAAGTATTAAACAACCACTGTGCAACAAGTTTAAACAGAAAATTCTGAAGCAAAAGCAGCAGAAGGCCATTTGTTCACAGTCAGGGGCGGTTCTAGGAGGGGCCCAAGGGTGGCCCCGACAGAAAGCTTGGCCCCCTGTGGGCCTCCTGCTGAGGGCAGAGCCTAAGCAATAATAAGTGAAGCTGTAAAGAGAAGTTTAGACTCATATTTTCATGTTGTCACTGAAAAAAAAACACTTTTTGCAAATTAGTTAGTTTGAAACTGACTGAAAAGTTGTTGTAACTAAAGGAACTGTAACTGAATAGTCATCATATTACTGTAACTACTCACTGAAATTTGAAAACCTTGAAGGAAATGTTCGTAGTGTTTTCTTACAAATGCTAATGCACACCATACCTCTAAAACCAAGTTTGAGGGTGCGTCACATTGTGTGCACCAGCAAAATGCGCGCGCGCACACACACACACACACACACACACACACACATACACACAAAGTATAAAAGTATTAACATACTGATCTGAGATATTTACAAATGTGAAAAAGCAGCACCTTGTATGAACAAAACTGTACGAGACTGAACTTCATCGCTCTCCTCTTCCCTCCCTGAGCAGCTCTTTTTCTACTCCTCCCGTTTCTCTGATTTTCTTAGCCTCCTTCTCTGCCTCCTCTGCTCTCCTCCACTCCTCCTTTGCCGTCTTCATGAGCCACGGCCCTCCCAGGTAGCTCAGGATCTCCTCAGGACTTCCTCTGAGTTGCGGCTCAGGATGGAGCAGCTCCTTTAAGAGAGTCATCACCAGTGGGCTGAGGCCCTCGAACTGTGATGGAGGAGGGTTTTCCTTTTGGTTCTGCTCCATGATGGAGTAATGATCAATGTCCTCCTCATCCCTCCACCTCACACCTCTTGCTTTGTCCTTTTCAGCCTCGATGTCAAACCACTTCTTGTATTTACAGTAGTCAGGATTATCGTGAGTGCTCTCCCCCCAGGGGAAGCAGCCGGTCAGCAGGCAGTAGACCAGCACACCGAGAGCCCAGCTGTCAATGCAGGTCTGAACCGTCACCCAGATGTCCTCCACCTCCTCCTCAATCCCCTCATTAAACCTCCACGCCATCTCCTTCTCAGCCTGTTTAACAGCTTCCACCTCCGGGGTGCAGAAAGGCGACTCGTACCACACAGCTCTAACCGTGGTGCCAACAGCCCGAGCCAGGCCGAAGTCACCCAGTTTCACCCAGCGGCAGGCGCTGTCGCACAGGAAGATGTTCTCGGGTTTGATGTCACGGTGGACGAAGCCCAGAGAGTGGAGGTGTGTGACGGCACCACTCAGCTGGGACATCACCCTTTGGACGCAGTCTTCATCCACCCCAACCTGGAACAACCAGAAGAACCAGCGATTAAAGACCAAGTTCACTCATTTTTTGAATACATCAATGGTCTCTAGTATAAATGAATTCATTGCTAAGTCCATCTCTGAGGAAAAATAGCTCTGGCATTTCTGTTTCAGGAAGTAGACAGGAAATGGAGTCTACTTCCTGAAATTCGGACATTTTGTCTCTGTTTAACGGCAACGCGACTCTACCACTAACTCTGTTTGCTCTGCAATGTTGATGTTTTATCCCCACAAAAAACACACGCCTGGAGGAGTTTTGCTGGAGTTGCTAATGCTAACCGTTAGCTTCTACTAACTGAGATGCACTCTACTCTTTCCTGGGAGCTAAACCAACACCACTGTCGTGAGCAAAGATGGGTGAGTCCATGAATGCTAATTTGCAGTGTGACATAGATCCGACAGGCTTTTCTAATCGGAGCGTTTCGCCATCTATTTTCTATCGGCGGCTAATGCAGGGAATAGAGGCAGAAGACTACTTTAACATTTAGCCTGCATGTGAAACTCAGAGTGATTGCTTATATTTCAAAAATAACAAGTAAAAAACAGTTTCCCAGTGAACTTGGCCTTTAAACGGGGTGAATCAGCACCAACTGAGCTCGTTTTAGATTTTCTAAATAAATAAAAAACCTCATAGTTGAAGAAAGTCAATGCTGTAGGTTGGCAGGCAAACTCTAACTGAACAGGACTTTGAATCACTTTTGGCCCATACTCAATCAAACCTGCGTCACCAGCACGCTTCGTGGTGCTCATGGAAATCCCTACTTTACTGGATGTTCTCCTCATGCATGGTGCTCTTATTCTTATCAGGCCTCTTTTGTGTTTCTGGCAGAGGCTCAAACACAGAAATAGGTCTGCTGGAGACTTATCAAGCACGTTCTGAAGTTTTTACTGGCAGAAGAGGAGGGTCTGTAAGTCTGGATAAGCTGTGACCACAGAGAAAAGTGCATGAAAAGCCAGCTGAAGCACCACTTTTACCCGTTTCACTGCACTGATTAGGAATTTTTATGAACATTGCTTTATGCAATAAAACCATTTATTAAATATTTTTCCTGCAACTTATTGGGATTTAAATTCTGGACATGAACAGCCCGCTTGACTGACCTCTGACACGATGACGCTGTAGAGATCGCCGTAGAGACACGCCTGCTGGGCAAAAACGTAGTAGGACGGCGTGGAGAAGAAGATGCCGAGAGCCCGTGTCAGAGAAGGATGGGTGCAGTAGGAGAGTGAGAGATTGTATTCGCGCAGGAACGACGTGAGGGACGTGGTCTGTCGTGGGAAGAACTTCAGAGCCATGGGAGTTCCTGATGGAAAAGAGCCAACAGTAAAAATGTTGAATCATGCACTATTTAATCAACATTGGGCTGTATTTCTCATCCATCATTTACACCGTTAGCAAATATAATCTCCCTATAGGAACTTTGTCCCACAGTTTAACTGCAGATGCTGCAACTCGACTCCAGAAAACTCAAAGCGTTTCGTCAGAGCAACACACTGTAAACCCGAATAAGTTCCCAGATCTCAAAAATTTTGAGGGAGTCAATTGCCTCAATTTTTTTTAATTTTGATACTGAAAATTTTAAGTTTTCCTGAATTAAATTTCTTAGTAAATTTTACTCATGCATTTGAAGTTTATTAAATTAAAATTGCTCATCCAATCAACTCAAAATATTTTAGTTACCAGAAGCACAAAAAGTTGAACAAACCCACGCAAAATCAGATCTTTAACTCCCCCCCCCCCCCCCCCCATTCAGCTTCTACATTACAGAAAAAAAAACACTGACCTCTTTTCCTGTGCACAGCCAGCATGACTTTTCCGTAGGATCCCTGTCCCAGAAGCTTTAGCACCTGGAAGTGTTTGGATACCTTCAGACTGGGCAAGGACTGCGCTGACAGGAAGCATAGCTCGTCAAGTTCCTGGCCTGCTGCAGCCTGGACACATGCAAAACAGACACACAAATCCAGTCATCGCCGTGATCGGGCTCGGGATTTGGTTCTGTAGCATCAAGAGAAATAAGAGCTTCACCAGGATGTGGTGACAGATAACTACAAAGAATCAAGTGTGCTCCTGCAGCTGCACATGGGCCTGAAACCGGAGGAGACTTGGAGCACATGAAGTCTCGTATACGTTTCGTCAAACGTTCGTGAGTTTTCCTGCTTTAGGGAATTGTATGGAAGGATATCAAAGCTTGTGGGATTTGTTTGATAATGTTATATGTTGTGTTGATTATCTCTAGTTCTAATCTGGTGTGATCTTTACTAATTAGGAATGTTAGATGTCGGCTTTTTTTGCTGATATCCGATATACCGATTTAGTCTAACGCCTAATTTCCGACACTGATATAAACTAATAAATGCAGGGTCAACCCCTCATAAAAAAGACAAACTAAGTTATTTTAGGTAACTAACATCACACGCCTCCTATCATTTAAAACGTAAACATTATCTGTGCAAAATAAGACAATTGCTTCAATTTAAAGTAACATTAAATAGTTTAAAATGTAAGCTACGGCGTTAACATTGATCACAGTGATTGTCGAGTTATAAACTTGACCGGTTTCATATTTAACACCACTCTGCACCAATCTGCTGACTAAAAACCACACTTGATAGTTTTATGGAGCAGGTAGGGGTTGTAGGGGGCGCTCCTGCTTAACCTGCTGTATCGCTGTTAGCTGTTATGATAGCAGTTGGCATTTTCAGTTCACCGACTGCCAATAAAAAGCACAAGAAGAAGAAAACTAAGAAGTTTGTTTTTTGTTGGCAGCCTGGAAGTAAAAGTAAAAGAGTAATGACTTTGAAGGTGAAGCAAAGCGCTAAACCCAGAGTGAACACTGGTCAGGCCTACGCTAGCTTGAGGGAGCCAAAGCTGTAAAAGGCTACAAAATCCCAGACTGATGGTGACCTGGCTTTGTTGCTTCATGCTTTGTGGTTTATTTTAGTATTAGTTCGCTCATGTTAGCATTAGCTTGTTGTAAGCGCTAGCTACAGCAGCCTGCAGTAGGGTTGACTACCACAGTTGTAATTCCACTTTCAACCAGTAGGGCAGAGGAGCAGGAAACTGCTCTGTTCATTTAAATTAGGCCAGTTGCACCAAACAAACCATCTCAAAAACTAAACGTCGGCTCTGCCATATTGTGACGTTTGAGTAAGAGAAGAAGCTGAAGAGTTTGATGTGTATGGGATCTAAAAGTTGTGTCATTAAAAGAGTAAAAACCGATAAAGATCATTTCTGATATTACACTTTGATGGAAATAGCGGACAAGCTTGTTACTGATGAATAAATCCCTGACATGTCTCTAAAACAATAAGAACATTTGTCCCAGTCATTTACTCAGTGTTTCCATCATCATCCTCGATTTTGTGACAATTCCCTTTGATGTTGACCACCCCTCGAACACATGCTCCAGTAAATATGACAGGTGTGAACAGCTAAAGCACGCAGCCTAGCACAAAAGATAAAACGATCAGAGGTGGATTACATATTTGTACTTGTGACCTTCCCACATGTTGCATTTCCACAGGAATGTCTGAGTCTTTCATCACCAACACACAAAACGACTCATAATTTCAGAAACTATAGAATAATCGGCTTTATGTGCAGCAAAGGTGAGCTGATATGCACAAGTGTTACTAGAACCAGATTATTCTGGGATTCTTGTGCACAATTTCACCTTTCTAAATAAGAGCATAGAGGAAGTCACAAGCTTGTAAAACACAGCTAGCATAATAACCTAAAATGTGTTTTCAGTCATGCATTTAATATATATGGTGCAGTTCAAGAAATTAAGTGTAGTGCTGTCCTGAAACCTCAGCTGATTGTTATCCACAGCACTGTTAATGTCCTGCAGCTGCCTTTCATTCCACACATAAATGAAATAGAGATATTCTGTTTAGGAAATTGTTTTTAATCAGGTCACAGTTTGGTTAAAGGATTCAGCGCTTCTGTTTGGTGCCGAGTCATCTAAAAGTTGCATCAGGAGCACATAAGCTGACCTGATTAACTGTTATTTTATGGCCTTTGGCATAAAACAGCAAGTGGTACAGGGTTGCATTAGCAGCTCTAATTGAGCTGATATCGTAACAAGTTTGAGGTCTGGTGAAATTATTTGACACATAAAGCTGAAAGTCTTCAACGGCATGTTTCCATTGTGTCTGTGCAATTTAGCAGTCATTGCATGTATGTAAATGAGTAAAAATGTGATTGCACGTGCAAAAGTAAATGCATTTACAGTGAAGAAAAATCCTTATTTGTATTTTTATGTCAAAGATTAAAACTTGTATTCTTTAGTTGTTTTCTTCAGACTTTGTTTCTTAATTCTACAGCTGCTTCTACACCCCTTCTTAATTTAGCAATTAAAAATTTTTAATTATTCAGGCATTAAAAAAAGCTTCAAAACTCTCAGGATGCATCAGTTTTAAATATGAGCTTTAGGTGCTTTGTTTTCAGTTTGGATCTGTGATAACCACCTATGTCAATGTTTTGGCACCAATTGGTTCCAGAAGAGCTAAAAAAAAACTTTCATAGACTAACTACACTCATTTCAATCAGGATCTTCTAGTTTTTCTTATTTAATAATTCAGTTTTTTTTGAGCATCGAATGTTTGTTTTAGACACCTTGCAATTAGTACTTTATTAATTTTCTTAATTTACAGCACACTATGCTGTCCATCACAGCCAGGTAGGAGAACTGGGTCGAGGACGCCATATTCCAAAGAAAACTCAGATATTCACTAAACTGAAGTACTAACCAAGACAAGTTTGCAAAGTCCTTGGAAGTAAAAACGACTCAAGTAAGAGGTGATCTCAAACTGAGTTTGGTGAAATGACAAGAAAAATGTTTACTTACTGTCATTTTTGATTCAGTTGGATGATCTTTGTTCAGTCTGCATTGATTCTTTTCATCATCTAATCAGAACCTCCGAAATTTGGCTGCTGCTGACACCGAGAGTTGAACTTCAAGCTTCTGCTCTGTGGTTCTTGTCCAGCAGCTTTAAAGACGCTCAATGTTTACTGGAAACTCAGATATAGGCTGTGTTCCTCTCCCCAGGAGACACACTTGAGCTCGCTCTTTTCCCACTCTGGTGCCAACACCCTCCCTCCGCCGTCATTCTGGCTAACATGCATGAACCAGTTACGAGGTATTCCAACCCTCTCCCCCACCTTCCCTGCGTGCCCCTCTCCCTCTGCTAATGTACAACCCTGTTACTATTTCACAGCACATGAAGTCTTCATTCCTTTTCCTCAGGTGTCACTTTTAAGTAAACACCTCTTTACCCCTCCTTCAGGTTTTAGTCTCTGGAGTACCCTAGAACAGAATTAAAGTGGCATCATTGATTGAATCATTAGAGGTCATCTTATCGAAAATTTCCAGCATTTCAAATATACTGAACTTTATTGCTGGTTTGATTGCGTTTTGTTTTACACAGGAACTCCTCAGGGATCCTAACAAACTCAGACCTCAAATAACACTGGCTTTAATTAGCGTTAGAATTTTTATTGCATGGTCCCTTCAGCAAAGATAAGCCAAGCCAGGGAGTCACCTTGTCATTAAGACATTTGACAGAAAAGCTTAGATCAAGGAGTTTTACACAAGTGAGGTTAGAAAGTGGTAGATTTTAGACACCGTCGCCGTCTTCGTCGCCGCCGCCCACGGTCGCCGTCCTCGTCGCCTCCGCCCACGGTCGTCTCGTTGCAGCCGGACTCATCCTCGAAGTGTACACCTTCTGCCAAATACGTGCTCTCAGTTTTCATTTCTGAACTTGCAAGTTTTCCAAACAATTGTTCGTTTTCACTTCGTTAGTTTCCAGCTCTGAAAAGGTAAAAAATAATTAGTTTCTTCCTTGTAGTGCCATCGAAAACTAATTTTAGTGCTTCTGAAATCTGCTTACCTTGATCACTCAACATGGACTACATCGACTGGATTTGAGGTGCATTTTTTTAGTGATGCAATAGGAGACATGCCTGTATAAGATAATAGCATTTAGCAATGGGCAATCAGGCAGTTCAATTTCTAAACCGTTCCAACCACTGAAGTCACTTACCCGCACTCTCCAGCATCACTCCAACTTTTTGACTTTTAGCATTTTGCAAAGAGAAGCCTGTGAACAGAACAGAAAATTTCTAAAATAAACCCAGTACAATTTGTGGATCACAACTCAACAACAGTTTCTTTTTGCACTAAATTAAATTAACCCTTTAAAAGTAAAACAAACCTGTAGCAAGACAAGCTACCAGCACGCAGCACAGTAAAACCCAACTAAAGGCTGATTTATGCTTCTCCGTCAGCTCCAACAGGGACAGACACGCACGGATTATCGGAAGCGTTTTGCTCTCATACTTCTCCGTCTCCTGGGGAGTGTTGCAAAGCAATTCCCCGCCAGGACAATAGAGGGCGTAGCGCTGTTCTGTGGTATCCTGTCAAGTATCGGTCCAAGATAGTGTGTTTATATTGTTTTTTTGTATATAAGAGACTTTTTAACACAGGCAAATTTGTCTCATTCTCCTCCACCTCTTCTTGTTCTCACCACCTCTAAACCCATGTTTCCTGTCATTTCCGTCCACAAATAAAACGCTTGCCGCGTATCTTTTCACTCCTCCAGTCACGGGGGAATTAAACGTTCATATTTTAGAGTGTTGTCGCGAGGTATTCTTCAAGCTTCTCCGTGTCTGCCGCTAGTTATCCTTGGCTCTCTTTGTTTTTGAGGGCGCAATGGAGGTGGTGTAGACAACAGAGGCATCCTGACCAATCACAAGCTTGCATTCTCCGTCTCAACAGACGGATGTTTAAAAAAGTGGGCTCGACTCTGTACGTACTTGCGTGCCTGCCGGGGCCCTACGTGAGGACGGATAATGGCGTTGCGTGTCTCTGCACTGATGCAGACGGAGAAGCATGAATCAGCCTTAACTTCCATTGTTGCTGTCACCCAGGGAAAGCGAAACCTGTACAGGTGACACTTAAATGGGCTGCATGGTGGCGCAGTGGTTAGCACTGTTGCCTCGCAGCACGAAGGTTGCAGGTTCGAAACTCGGCTGCGGCCTTTCTGCGTGGAGTTGCTTGTTCTCCCCATGCATGCGTGGGTTTCCTCCGGGTACTCCGGTTCCCCCCACAGATCACAACACGCCCTATAGGTTATAAATTGTAAGTTGCTTTGGATAAAAGCGTCTGCTAAATAAATAAACATAAACATAAATGAGTCATTTCAGCAGGTTTCACAGCTGTTCGTCATCAAGCCTAATCAGAACCTCCTTCAGGAGACTTCATGCTCCATGGCATTCATGTGGAAATGGTCATCGATCCAGCTGAATCCAACATTTGTTGATTAAAGCACCAGTTAATCATTTAAACCCCATTCACCATGAATCAGTCTTTCTCACAGACAGATTATCAATGAACCCAATCAGAGCTTTCACACCAGTTCCAGTGCGTTGTGAAACCAGATGCGGAGCTCTAGAAAATTTCTACGTGGAGTCTATTTTTTCTGGACACTGATTGACATGAAGTTAAACGATTACAGGCAGACAGGAAGTGAGACGTGGTTCAGTTATTAATGAACACAGTATCAGTTCACAGTGTATGATAGTTCACATTATTTTCACAAGTATATCTTTAAATGTAGTTTGTTGAATTTATAATCGTTTTACGCTCCTGCGAGAGCAAATTTCTGGAGATGTTCACCACATGAACCGCAGTTGGTGGGAATGGCGGTCCATCCCGAAGCTGTACGGACATCGGACCGCATCCGTTTCGTACTCAGTGTGAACAAGGCGTTTCGATCCCAGGATTATTTACTAACACATTCCTGAAGAAATCATTGTCAACATGGGATTATCTAACATTTTGTCCAAACAACAGGAATATTGGGGATCTGATAAACTCTATAGTTCTGCTCCAGTGAAGCCCAGGGGTCTCATTTATCAAGCTTGCTTACGCACAAAACGGGTCGGAAAACTGCGTAAGCAACTTTCCACGCAAACTTTGGGATTTACTAAAGAAAACGTAACGGAAAAATGTGCGCAACTTTAAGTTGACTAAGGACCTGGCTTACGCACATTTTGGACATGGAGAGCACCTGCAGTGCTGCTGCTGAGAAGGATAAAATTATGAAATCCTGCAGCATTATCACTTGTACTGCTTCGTTTTCACACAGAACAAGACCCCACACACGCGCGCGTACACACATGCACGCACACTCACACACACACACATGCGCACGCACGCACACACACACACATGCGCACGCACGCACACACACACACACACACACACACACACACACACACACACACACACACACACACATGCGCACACACACACACACACACACACACACACACACACACACACACACACACACACACACACACACACACACACACAGCCTGAAGCGCAGAATATGGAATGCAGAATATCAGCAGGAGGACAGATTGAGACAGAATGCATGCGTCTGTGACAGTGAGTGTCCTGTCACTGTAACCCGATTGATCATGCGCCCTGGCTACTTGTACAGGGGAGATCTCCGTTTGGCTGACTGGTTAGTGCATGGGACTTTCACCTGGGAGTCTGGGGATCAGCTCCTGATTGGACCATTAACTTTTTTCTATCTGCCACAGATCTCTCTGAAGAATTCACAGCATTGACGGCTTCAGCAACGCTGTGCCACTCCGTGGATTTTCTCTTATTTGTTTTGCAAAAGCACTTCATTTCACTTCTCCACCTCACCCACAGGTACCTTCATTTCTGCTCCTGTGAAATTGCGCTTCCTTGATCTGCCTTGATCTAAGGTCGCCATGTCAGTGGTGGAGCGCTGCAACAGCCGGCTTATGTATATGCATGAGATCCATAAGGCACTTTGCATTGACCATTTATGGCAGTAAGTGGGCGTGGTGAGGGCGGGATGTGACTAAAAGCAGTTGAGAAACATTCTCGTTAGTCTCTGATGTATGAAGCGGAGATTGTGTGCAGCTGTGCGTACTCCATGTTTGATAGATCACAAACCTACTTGGCGTAAGTACATTTTTTTTGCTGAGCTTAAGTACGGTTTTAGTAAGGATTCTACGCAATGTTTGATAAATGAGACCCCTGAGCCTTTTACAGTAACACTAGGGTTTGCTGCTCCTCCCTCCTGGTTGAAACTTACAACTACAACTGTCATAAACACCTCTACAGCAGCTTGCTGCAGCTAATGCTAACAACAAGCTAACACTAATACTTGAATAAACCTCTAAGTAAAAAGATCCACATCACTGGACACAAATAGTATTACTTACAAGTCCAGCAGCAACAAAGCCAGGTCAGTTCATAACTTCCTTTTGGTTCCTTAAACTAGCGTAATCTGTGCCGATATTTTCTGTGGTTTTAGCTCTTTTGCTTCTAAAGCTTTACGTGCAGGCTCAAGCGTGATGCCAACAAAACAGAAAATTTATTTTTCTTCTTATTTTTACTGATGATCATCGAACCAAAAAAGCTAACTGCTAGCATAAATGGTAAATGACTTGTGTTTGTATAGCGCCTTCTTAAGGTTCTAAAATCCCCTCAAGGCGCTTCACAGCACAATCAGTCATCCACATAACAATTAGCATAACAGCTAACAGCGCTCCCCTATAGGGTGCCTACCCGCTCCACAAAACTGTTAAGTACGGTTTTTGTCAGCAGAGTGCTGTTCAGGGTGAGGTTGGTATGGTTTACTCACACAATCACTAAAATCCACTTTTAAAGTGTTAAAAACTGCTTTGCTTTGTGTGCCTACATGCAATCTGAATTATCCATCCATCCATTTTCATCCGCTTATCCGGAGTCGGGTCATGGGGGCAGCAGCCTAAGTCGAGAGGCCCAGACTTCCCTCTCCCCAGTCACTTTTTCCAGCTCTTCCAGGGGAATCCCAAGGCGTTCCCTGGCCAGGTGAGAGACATAGTCCCTCCAACGTGTCCTGGGTCTCCCTTTAGGCCTCCTCCCGGTTGGACGTGCCTGGAAAACCTCACCAGGGAAGCTTCCATCCTGACCAGATGCCAACTGGCTCCTCTCGACATGGAGGAGCAGCAGATCTACTCCGAGCCCCTCCCAGATGACCGAGCTTCTCACCTTATCTCTGAGAGAGAGCACAGCCACCCTGC